CCTGAGCATGGAGGTGGGGGAAGAACAGATGAGAGGAGGATGAGGGCACAGAAGAGAAAGGCTCAGCAAAGCAGAGCTTGTGTTTTCTGCTCCTTATAATATGACTTGGCTATTGCAGGGGATGTCACCCTGGATGCTGACACAGCTCATCCCAGATTGGAGATCTCTGCAGATGGGAGGACAGTGAAGGACACTGGTGTCATCAGAGACTTGCCCAAGAAGAAGAAGAGATTTGATTCCCACACTTTTGTGTTGGCAAAGGAAGGATACACATCTGGGAAACACTACTGGGAAGTATATGTTCGGGGAAGAAGAAGTTGGGCCTTGGGTATTGCCCAGGAACCTGTGACTCGCAAGGGGCCATTGACTCTGTCCCCTAAGAATGGCTTCTGGGTCATTGGGAGTGTAGATGGGAGAGAATATTGGGCCTACACAGATTGTTGGACCCGTCTGAGTGTGAGTGGGAAGCTGGAAAAGATTGCGATATTCCTGGACATCCCAGCCAAGGAGCTGAGATTTTATGATATCCATAAGAAAGCAGCAGCTCTGTACACTTTTAGCCTTGCTGATGTCAGCATCCAGGAAGGGAAATTCATTCCCTTCTTCTCCACAGGCCATGCTACTACAGAGCCTGACACTGAGCCTCTGGTAATACTGTAGTTTTGTGATGATGATGAAGAGTTCATGGTACATTTCCAATGTCAATAATGTACAACTGGTGATCAAATCATACTGTAATCAGATGCTGATTAATCTGTGTCTCCTGATTTAAGCTAATGAAGCAGAGGACAGATCTGTCATAGTGGCCAGCTCTGAAAATTTTTATGTTATGCATCAGAATGACAAAATTGTTTTAAGCTAAATTTTATGCACTCAAGAAAAAGAAATGTTCTTTCATAGTGTCAGGAAAGAAAGCACTTCTTGTGGCTTAGAAATTTTCCTGAAAATAAAACCCTCTCCCTTCCCTATATCGCATGATTTGTCATTTTGTTGAGGAGGGACAGTGATAGAGTGGATTTGTGGGCACTTGGCAGCCAACCAAGGTCAAGCCACCACACAGGTCCACATGGCATTAGAATATCTCCAAAAGACAGAGGCTACACAGGCTCCCCAGGGAACACATACCTGGGCCTGGTCACCCTTAAAGTATTAAAGTGTTTCCTGATGTTCTGAGGGAACCTCCTGTGTTTCACCTTTTGCACATTGCTTCGTGTCCTGTCACTGGCACCTCTGGGAAGAGCCTCCTTAAGGTATTTATAAAGATTGCTGAGATCCTCCCAAGCCACCTCCTCTCCAGGCTGAACAGTCCCTGCTCCCTCAGCCTGTCCTCATGGGAGAAATGCTTCAAACCTTTAGCCATCTGTGTGGACCTTCCCTGGACTCTCCAGTATATCCATATCTCTTTTGTACTGGGGAGCCCAGGACAGCAGGTGTGGCCTCTCCAGTAATGAAGAGAAGGGAAAGATCACTTGGCTCATCTTGTTGCCTCACTCCTCCAAATACTGCCTGGGACACCAGAGTTCCTTCGCAATAAGTCCATATTCCTCAGCTTGGAGCTCACCACAACTCTTAGGTTATTTTCTGCCCAGATGTTTTGCAGCTGGGTATGCTCCAGCATGTGCTGGTGCCTGGGCTTGTTCTTCCCAGGGAAAGCACAAGAACCAGGAAATTATCGACAAGTCAGTCTCACCTCTGTGCCTGGCAAGATCATGGAGCAGATTCTCCTGGAAGCTCTGCTTAGGCACATGAAAAGCAAAGAGGTCACTGGTAACAACCAACATGGCTTTACCAAGGGCAAGTCATGCCTGATGAATTTGGTGACCTTCTACAATGGGGCCACAGAATTTGTGTATAGGAGTAGCACAACCAATATCATCTACCTGGACTTACGCAAAGCCTTTGGCACTGTCCCACATGACATCCTTGTCTCTAAATTGGAGAGACATGGATTTCATGAGTGGATCACTCAGTGGATAAAGACCTGGCTGGACAGTCACATGCAGAGAGTTGTGGTCAGCAGTTCATTGTCCACGTGGAGGCCAGTGATGAATGGTATTTCTCAGGGGTCAGTGCTGAGGCCAATACTATTCAACATCTTTGTCAGCGACATGGACAGTGGGATTGAGTGCACCCTCAGCACTCAAATATACAGAGATGTATGAACAGAGACATACAGGCAAAAAGAAAAATTACCAGGGATGACATGAGTATACTGAAAACGGCCAAATTCAGAGATATGGTAACATCAGATTGCCACATTTGAAGAGGGGTTAAAACTCTGGGGTTGACTCCAAAATAAGGTATGATGGGTTGCCATTGACAATCAGGACAGGCTTGGACCATGTCATGGACTTGAAATGAGGAAGCTGCAACTGTCGACGCAGGGCGTGAGCATTCTGGTGAAAAAAAGAATGTGAAGCACAGGCTTGTCAGAATAAATCTGAAAGTGTTATGGCACCTGATAAAAGATCAACTCAGCAATTCCTTTCAACTAATGGGCCAGGTAAAGCGGTGTGGGATTGAACACGAGTGATAAAATAGGGAGAAGTTCTGTTATTGAGATAACAGTTGCTGTAATAGGGAAAACGAAAGGTGATTAATTTCTTTCAAATGAGACCCTTCTAATCTTAACACAATACCTGTAATATAGGCTGAGTCAGAAACAATGCTATTTGCAAAATTTTCAAAGCATCGTACAAGTGCTGCAAGTTCAACAATTTGTGGTGACCTGTGAACTTTGTGAATATCTGAACACCAAAGACCTTTTTTCATCCTGCCACACTGACAGAGTTTCCCACTTTTCTGGACCCATCAGTAAATAAAGTGACAGCATTGTCAAGGGGTGTTGGGGACAAATGTGTGGCAGGTGCTAACTGCACGTTTTTAGTTGGCGTAACTACAGGGTGGTGTGGGGAGTTAAGGGCAGGGTCACTTTTAACAGAGAAAACAAAGAGTGTCGTTTTTCTGTTGTGATATGTGATAGCAGATGAATCCAGTTTATGGCACCTAAAATCACTTGCAAATCATTCAAAGCGGTAACTTTAAAAAGAAGTTTGAGGGTTTTGGCTGAATAGTTGAAGAAAAAAAATTGCAACCTAAATAATGCCAAGGAGTGTCTTTCTGCACATTGTCAGCAGCTACACACAATCCAGCTTCTTGTACTGCTTGCAATGTAGCTCAAAAATCTTGGGCATTTTCATTTTAGTGGCTGAAGCAATTAGTAAGTCATCCATGTCTCCCACTGAGGAGGTGCATTATTGCAAAAGTCAATGGGGAAGGCTCCCAGCAATTCATTATCTCCTGCCTGTCTTGCCTGTTGCCAAACATGGCCCCTGTGATCGGGGGGTGGTGGTGTCGTGGTTTAACCTCAGCCAG